GGGCTTTGGGAGAAACACAGCATACTGTTCTTTTATAGCTTTTAGTCCTTAAACAAAAATTAAACAAATGCCAAACATACCACAAAATATATTGATGCAAAGGCAAATTTAGGCAAAAGGTTTAAGTCAAATTTTGAAAACATTTATTTTATCAAGACTTTAGAAAATTAAAGTCATGTGAACTTGAAAAGTATACTTATTTATTTAATGAACATGCATTAATTATAAGCCAATTTGGTACCGTGCAGACAATACAAACACACATATAGACATGAACACATGAACATGTAAGACATGACTTACATTTATGTACATATATATGTAGATATGAATAGACAGATAAAATAGAAAACTCACTAGTATAAAAGGACAGTCAGATTTAAATTGTTTCTTTTTTAAAAAATGTCAAAATTTATCTGTGAGGCCTCACCCTGTTTTAGAGAAAATAAAGTAACAAAACAGGTTGATTTTAGTTTAGTTTTTTTGTTTTTCAAATGGGTTACAGAGCATAAGGCTGAGCCAAAGAGCAGATAGAGATAAGGCCAATAGACTTTTGGGGTTTCAAGAGAAAGGCAGCAGACCCAAAAGGAGGTCCGATTGGGGCCAGGGTTGTGTTTCTCATAAAGCCTCAGAGTCCCTGGCAAAGAAGAGAAGCACACGCAGTTAAGAAAAGAAAACATGCTCAAACAAAACTAATGTTGTAAAGAAATATTAACTTCTCTTACTTTAGTTTGTCCAATTTAAAGTTCTTTCAGTTACTGGCAAAGATTAAGTTTTATCCTTTTCGGTGACACAAACATGTCTTTGTTTTTTGTTAAGGTAGAATAGGTCTCATAGCGACTTGACATAGATTCCAAACTGTTAGGTGGGAAGCCTTGACGAGACCCATAATATAAATTAACCAGTGACCAATTAGTTTTCAAAGTTTTATGTCAAGGCTTCCTTCCTTGTGGTACCAAGGACATTGTTGTTTAATAACCACTAACAGTTTTACAAGCTGCCGTTTAGTTACTTTACAGCTGGCTGCTTTAAGGAGACATTGGAGTTGTAATTTATGTTGAATCTCCTCTTTAGACAGGGAAGTTCTCATATTTTAAAAGTGAAAGAAAAAGAAACAACCTTTGAGCTGAAAAGACTGGACTTGAGCTGCTGCAGGCATGCACCGCTAATCTAGAGCCGCCTGTGATTCCCTTACCGGGATGCATTTCCCTTATTGGGACTTCCCTTGCTGGGATGCATAAATATATATGTATATGTCAGGCATCCTTTAGTTTCCAAGTCTTGGCAGGTTGGTCTCTGATCTGCGGAGTCATAAATGCCTCACAAGGGGCACCATTTGTCACCTCTCCCAGGGTGACAGGTGCAAAGGATTACTCAAAGCGCATTTCTCCAGAGTAGTGAGTGGCTCGGAAGGGGCTAATTCCCAGAAACAATTTCTTCAAGAGAGAAGAATTCCTAGGAAATAACCCTGAATCAGGTTTTGTCTCTGTTTTTATTCTCCAGGCAAGAAAGTTACAGAAAAGGAACATAGGTGGTTACAAAAAGAACAGTGAGATAATCTACTTTCCCATCATGAGCTTTAGCTGCACCAAGGACATCTGCCCTTAGAGTCAGCATTTTTGCTGTGTTACAATTTTTTAAATCTACAACAGAGACTTTAGTCCTGGAAAAGTTTTCTGTCTTTCCTAAGCTTAGCATTTCTCTGTGTTAGGCCCTGTGAAATACATTTGCTTTATTAGTGTTGGTATCCTCCACATATTCCACTGTCTTGACCGGAAGCCCTGTTATGACTTTTAGGTATAGGTCATTTGGTCTCTCGAGAGCCTACAGGTAGTGTGTATCTCCTGGAGCACAACACACGTGGGGCTGTGATGTCTGGCCACTGTTGCCTTCTAGCCTTGTGTGCCTGTGGTGGGGACTACACTGAACCCCAGCACTGGTCTTAGCTGCTCTCCTACTGAATGATCAGTGAGCCAAGCCTGTCCATTCCCTCATTAAAGCTCACAGCTCACTTTTTAGGAAGGAGTTTACCTCTCCCGCTGCCAGGTTGTACTTTTACCAAGAGTCATATGTTTCGGTCCCAGATTAAATAGGAGTGCTGAGAGAAAGCTGTTGCTTCCATGAAAACTAAGTTGGATGCTGAATTGGTTTCCTGTCTCTATGGAACAAGCCACTAACCACAAATTTAGCAGCTTAAAACAACACACATTTATACTCTTACAGTTTCTGTGGGTCAGGAGTCTGGCCATGTATGTAGCTGAGCCCTTTGCTTTTGGTTTCACAAGGCTGCAGTCAAGGTGTTGCCCGGGCCACACTCTCATTTGGAGTTCAGGGTCCTTGTTGACCTGATTGGGTTCGTTGTGGGACTGCAGCTGTTGGCTCATGGAGGCTGCCCTTCTCCATAGGCAGTTCACAGCCTAGCTGCTTGCTTCTTCAAGGCCCACAGGAGAGCACTTCTTTGGGATTGCCTGGTCTCTCTTTAAAGGGCTTTCACCTGGGGCCGGCCCGGTGGTGCACTGGATGGGTGCGCCGCTTGGGAGGTGTGGCGGCGCTCCCGCCCGAGGGTTCGGATCCCACATACAGACCGGTTCCTGCTTGCTGGCTGGGCGGGGCGCGGGGGCAGCGCCGAGGGTTGCGATCCCATTGCCGGTCCCCGGTCCGGTGCGGGGGCGACACTGAGGGTTGCGATCCGTTGCCGGACATGGAAAAAGACAAAAAGACAAAAAAAAAAAAAAATAAAGGGCTTTCACCTGATTAACTAGGCCCCCAGGATAAACTTCCTTTTGATTAACTAGAAAGCAAGTGACTTGGAACCTTAATTACATGTGCAGAATCCTTTCATCTTTGTCATAGAACAAACAAAACCTAGTTCCATCCTATTTACAGGTCTGCTGACACTCAGGGGGAGGAAATTACACAGGGTATTTGTACACCAGGGACTCAGAATCTTGAAGCTATCTTAGTGTTTTGCCTACTACAGATAATTTGTATAAAAGTGAGATAGTAAAAATGTACTTGCACAGATTAGGTGAGAGAGAACTATAAAGGACTGAAGAAGAAGTCTTAAAAGTCTAGAAGAATTCTGTACTGAGATTGCTCACAGTGTCCTTCAATTCTTGCTCCGTATTAAAGAAGCTGAGACTAGAAATGGTGGATGCTTCATGAGGGTGGTGCCTACCAGAGCATGAGAAGGAAAGAGTTTGTAAACTTGCACACAGAGAAAGGGCCGTGGCTAATGTGTCTCTTAATTTAAAATGTCTTTTGTGTCAGAGAAAAGGGTTTCCATTTTGCCTGCAGTTTTCAGAATGGATTCCTTCTCCAGGTGTCTGAAATGCCCCGTTTCAACTGGCCCTGTGCTGGCTGTTAGCTCTGGGAAGCCTTTTCTGGCTCACAGATGCTGACGAGTTAGGGTGTTTTGGGTTTTTCTTTGAATATCACTAGCGACTCATGTATTTTTATTTACTTTTGTAGTCAGTTACAGGTATGTATTTTGAGGCTCAAAAGTGTTCTAAATTTGGTTAGGAGTCCCCATCAGGCTTTTTTCTTTTCTTTTTTTTGAGAAAATGAGATATTCTAAGCTTACCTTGTTTGCCCTGGCCCTTGCTTGAATCAGCCTTTTTTTTCCCCAAGACCCTTGGTTTCTTTTAGTGGGAAAAGGAACTTAGAGACCAATATCTGGGTGCAAGGCATACTAATTGCTGTCAGATTGCCATTGATTCTGGGTCCGTTCCAAAGATAGAGCAAGCAAATATATTAAAAAATAAAGTTCACAGTGAGATTTTCAATTCAAATTGGTTTTTAAAATTTCTTGGGCCGGCCCGGTGGCGCACTGGATAGTGCGCCGCTTGGGAAGCGCGGCGGCGCTCCCGCCCGAGGGTTCGGATCCCACATACAGACCGGTTCCCACTCACTGGCTGAGCGAGGCGCGGGGGCAACACCGAGGGTTGCAATCCCGTTGCCGGTCCCCGGTCCGGTACGGGGGCAACACTGAGGGTTGCGATCCGTTGCTGGACACGGAAAAAGACAAAAGACAAAAAAAAAAACAAATTTCTTTCATTTTCTCTCTTTTACAATTAAAATTGTAGTTTCTAGTAACAATGTACTTTATCATAAACATGTTTTATCATCTTAACATTGCTTTATTATATAACAAACATGCAATATTTTAAAAATTATAATATCAATATTATGATTGTCAGTAAGGTCAATGAATAGTTTAAGGTTTTCTTCCACTATTGAGATATAGTTTAAAAATCCCTTGAAATAGCTTTCTTTTTGATACATGTAGGCAATTTGCTTGTTATCAGTTCCAGGTTTTGCTTTTTTTTAATTTAATTTTAAACTTTGAAGATGAAAACCATCTATCGTTTTTTTTTTTTTTTTCCTTTTTGTCTTTTTTTGTGACCGGTAACGGGATCGCAACCCTCGGTGTCTCACCCACACCGCGCTCAACCAGTGAGCGGACCGGTCTCTATATGGGATCCGAACCCTCGGTGGGAGCGCCGCCGCGCTCCCAAGCGCTGCACTCTACCGAGTGCGCCACCGGGCCGGCCCTATCGTTTTTTTTTTTTTTAATTGATTTCATTTATTTAGATTTTAGCTTCAGTGATATAGTTGGTTCATTTATATCTTTTAGAAGTAAAGATATATAAGGGCACTCACAATCTTGCTTTCATTGGTTCCTGTCCATAGGTAATCATTGTTACTTGCTTTTGGTTTATCTTTCAGAGTTTTTTGTACCTTACACATAAGTTGGTGTAGTATGCACTATTATGCATTGTGCCTTTTTCACTTAGCTACATTTCTTGGATCATTTTTGTTAAATGTTGAATAAGTCACTGATTTATTCAATCATTGATTTATTGAATAAATAAATAATTGATTTATTATTAAATGATTGAGTAAATAAAGGGAAATGAGATTTTTCCCCCATACCATTCTTTAAGAATTGCAATGTGAATATGAACATTCTGTAAGTTTATCTTATTTATCATTGCCAGCTTGCATTCACAAGAGATGGACTTTGTGGTCTGTGGAATGAAATGGTTAAAGATGGAGAAATTGTATATACTGGGACAGAATTAACCCAGAATGGAGAGCTTACTCCTAGAAAAGGTAAGGACCTTTAACTAGTAATTTTCATTTTGTAAAGACCATTATTAATTGCATTTTGTAGAAATTTTATAATGTGATATAGAGACGGGGTTTGAGCATAACTCTTTGAAATTTTGTTTTTCACTTTGGTGACTGTTGTCTAAAATGATAGTTAATATTACAAGCTGCCTGGAATTCATTGTTTTATGTGAATTGAAGGCATTTTCATTGTAAAACCACGTTGCTGCATATGTGGTGGTCTTCTCTGGTAGAAACTCATTATTATTTCTTCATTTAAGTTTTGAAATATTTCTTGCTTTGGCTAACTATAAATCTTGATTATTATAAGATTGAGTGGGAATAATTATTCCTGAATATTTCCTATATGACTTTTTTGGGGGGAGTGTATAAAACACTTTTTGAAAGCTTTTGGCCTGCAAAAAAATACCAGTGAACAGTCTCACTTATGTGTGTGGTTGTGAAAACACAACCCTCTATCGCTTGGTTGTTCTTGACTTTGTGTCAGAGTCCCCACTCAGTCTGTAGACGGAAGCAGGTGCCTGTGCCCACCCATCCATGTTGAACCTGAAAAGCCCAGGGGAGACCTGCTGCTGAGGCTTGTTTGTCCCACAGTTGAAAGTCATCCAAATAGATAGAGCTACTGCTTCAGAAAGTTTTTTTTTTCTCTTTGTGGGATGAATCAGGATAGTATCCACTTAAAAATCTGTGGGAGAAATTATTAGTGTATCTTTTCAGTTACAACATCTAGCAAAGTTTTCCCTACTTTTTCTGATATTTATTTGAAAATTTCCACACATACACAGAGTAACCGAAAGATGTATTACAGCAAGCGGCTGCACTTCACCCCTAGGTCTTGCCACCAGTGTCTGGCTCCACTTGTTTTTCACAGGGCTCCCAGCTCCACATCCTTCTGTCCCTCCATCATTCAGTCTCACCTGGCTCCTTTTGACTTTGTGCATATTATTAACTTGAGTTCAGTTTCAGTTTTTTCTTTAAGGTAAAATTTATGCACGATGAAATATGTGTATTTTCAGTTTACCATTCTACAAGTTTTGACAGATGTAACCTGTGTAAACTAAATCCTTATCAACATTGCTCCCAGTCAGGAGGTTCCCTTGACTCTCTCCTTGCCAGTCCATGGTTGCTCCCACCGCCTGAGTAACCACCGACTCCTCTCTCACCCTTGATTGGCTTTGTCTGTTTTAGAACATCATGGAAATAGAATCATGTTGTCATGTGTGCTCTTTTGTGTCTGGCTTTCCTCAGTCTGCATAATGTTTTTGAGTGGTGACTTTTCCAGGGCTGGTTTGCCACAGCCACAGAGAGGAAGCCCAGTCTGGGAGTAAAAGGGTTTGCACTTTTTCTTATTGATCAACTTTGTCAGTTCTTTTTTTTTTCCTTTTTGTCTTTTTTCGTGACCGGCAACGGATCGCAGCCCTCAGTGTCGCGCCCATACCGGACCGGGACCGGCAACGGGATCGCAACCCCCGCTGTTGCTCCCGCACCTCCCCCCGCCAGTGAGCGGCCGCCCTCCCTGTCG